TGCCTTTATACACTATTCATCAATTTGGCCATTCTGTGTGTGATAGGCCCATCCACCAGCCTCCCACCTGTAATTAGCTTTGTTATTTTTACATCAGGCATGTTAATCGATGCTCTTATTCCTTCCCCCACCTATGGAGGACAGCTTGGGCTCCTCCCCCCCAGGGAATAACGCTGTCTTGTTGCTTTAACAGCATTCTCTCCGGCTTCCTATCATGCACGCAATGGCCAAATTGGTGAATAGTGTATAAAGGCAGGTATCTCCTTAATGGTTTTTACACTCTGACGATGTTAGCAGTGGCTAACGAAAGCTAGGAGAGCAATATATTTTAAAGTTCCGGAGATTGCCACGTCTGTTTCTTCTTTTATATCTATCTATACTTGTTCTTAAATGCCAAATCCACGTAGGATCTTATCGCGGAACACACCCGCACAAACACACCCCTTTCCTTACCCTGTTGGCCGTCACCGCGAGGTTCTGCAGGTTCTGCAGCGCCCCGATTTCCGCCGGCAGGCAAATCAAGAGGTTGTGGCTGAGATCCAGGTAGCGGAGCTTCCGGCAGAAGAAGAGCTGGGTGGGCACCTTCTCGATCTTGTTGCGGTTCAGGTAGAGGCGCTCCAGGTTGGTCAGGTTGCCGATCTGCACGGGGATGTAGGCAATTTGGTTGTACCAGAGCTTAAGGCAGGTGAGGCGGTGGAGGTGCTGGAAGCTGATGATCTCCTCGATGGTCTTGAGGTTGTTGTCCTTGAGGTCGATCTCCTGCAGGTTGTGGAGGCTGAAGATGGAGTGAGGGATGCGCTCCAGGTCGCAGCGGATGAGCTCCAGCTCCGTCAGGTTGACCATCTTCTTCAGGCTGTTGAGGACCATGAGCTTGGTGCCTTCGTTGTTGATGGAGAGCTTCTGCAGGTGGACGCCCACGTCCGTCACCACCTGGGGCAGCTTGGTCAGGTTGCTCTTCAGCCTCAGGACCTTCAGCCTCTTCAGCTCCCGCAGGCCGTCGATCACGATGTAGCGGTTGTTCTCGGCGCTCAGGTTCCCCGTCAGATGAAGCTCTTCCAGGGTCTTCAAGCTGTAAATCCACAAGGGAATCTCCTTAATGTCCGTGAACTTGATGTGTAAGGATTTCAGGTTCTCCCTCAAGAAGGCCAGAGCCGGGGCCTCGATTTTGGCCGCCGTGTGGTACAGCCAGAGCTCCTTCAGGCTGGTGAGCTGGGCGATGCTGGGCGGGATGGTGACGTCGGGGATGAGCTCCAGTTTCAAGACCTCCAGCTCAAGCAGGTCAAAGACCGTGTCGGGAATGCCGCTGAGCATGAAGAGGTGCAGCTCCAGCTTGTCCTGGGAGTTCTTGGTGATCCTCTGGCGCAGCTTCTCCAGCGTCCACTCGTTGTTGAGGTTCAGCTGCCGGAGCTTGTTTTCGCTCACCTCCGAGAGGAAGACGGCGAAGCGCTTGGAGTAGAGAGGGTCGTACTGGTCGATCAGGTGGAGCATGAAGGCGAAGTCGTTCTTGACGTCGGGGATGTCGCTGTAGCTGCTCTCCTCTCGGATGGACTCGAAGGAGTACTTCTTGAGGGACCTCCGGAGCATCCACCACAGGGTGTACATGCAGATCAGGCCGTAGAGGACCACCAGGCTGATGTAGAAGGACGCCAAGATCTTGAAGAGGGTGGCCAGGGGGTGAGCGCAGCGGTACATGCGGTAGCCCGTCAGGCTCTCAATGTCCACTTTGCAATCGATGTCGAAGGTGATGTTGTTGACGTAGTAGACCGTGTAGCAAATGATGAGGATGAACTTGATGACCTTGATGATGGTTTGCCTCATGTAGAGGCGATAGACGATGTCTCCTTCCTCCACGTGAGTCCGGAACTTCTTGACCTTCTCGAAGAGAGCCTTGGCCTGCTCCCCTTCCTTCTTGTCCAGGACCCCGTTCTCCGTGCGGTCCACGATGCCTTGCTCAATCCGAGACTTGGTCCTCTGCAGCATGGGGGCGGTGGCCTCCACGTCTTCGCTGATGTTGGAGGACTTCTTCTCCATCGAGCCGTTCATCTTCCCGAAGGCCGGCTTGGGGTCGCTCTCCTCCACCACCGTCTCGGACAGGGCCCGGGTGGTCCACGGAGAGTCGAAGCACTTCAGGAGGATGGAGACGAAGTGCTCCAGTTTGGAGCTAGTCCTGGGGAACTTGAACCAGAAGTTGCTGCAGGCCAGGAAGATGAGGGTGTGCAGCAAGACGAGGTAGGGGAAGTACTTGGCAAACCAGTGAAGGCGGTTTTCGTAACACACGGCGTCCACGTAGTTATATTGATGGCGGTCGAGGTCGTATTTGATCCCGGTGGGACCAGGGTCCAGGGGCGTCCCCAGGGAAGCGTTGTAGTAGCCGGGGTCCACGTTTGCAGCCGTCCATTCGCGGGAAGAATCGTTGCAAGCGTCTTTGGTGACCCATTTGCAAGGCAAGCAGATCATTTTGTCCTGGGTGACCTGGAGGGTCCCGCCAAATACGGCGATCATTAGCATCACGATGGAGATGTAGTCCGTAAAGACGTCCCACCAGGGCTTCAGGATGCGGTACGCCGGCTGGGTGTCCGCAAAGTAGCGCAATTCCGTGACGGGAATCATGGCTCACCTGAAAGAGAGAGAAAACGGTCAGCAGGCGGGACCCACATGCATAAGGAAGAGTTATCTGGCCTTCAAAGGGTTCTGAACCACGCTTACCCCATTTGTGAATTCGGCCTATGGCATAAAACAGGGGCCCCAACCTCTGGGTCACGGCCCACCTCTGGGCCTTGAGTGGACGGTGGAAGTGGCACACATCTGATAGCAGAGACGGCTATCATGTCACCCCCCCAGCCCTTCTCTTCATTAGACTATAGGTCAAGGTTCCCCTCGCACATCTGTGCTAGTCGTTCCCGACTCTAGGGGGCGGTGCTCATCTCCATTTCAAAGCCGAAGAGCCAGCGCTGCCCGAAGACGTCTCCGTGGTCATGTGGCCGGCATGACTCAACACCGAAGGCTCACGGAACGCTGCTCCCTTCCCACCAAAGGTGGTTCCTATTTTNAGGAACAGGAAACAAAGAGGTGGGGCCGAACAGGATATAAAACGGCTAACCAGCCCCTCCCTCATTCTTTTTCTCCACCAACATTGAAGCATATGTTCACCTTTCAGGGCTCAAGCCATGTGGTCCTGTCCACCATTAAACCATCTTTCCAAGCAGCCTCCATGTCTCCAGTGTCTTTTCCCCCACTTGGAGCCGAACCCAGAAGGACATTTCTTTCATCACTTCTATTATAAGATTATCCTAACAAAAGCTTGCAAGTTTGATTGACACACACACAGAGAGACCTTTTATCTTCATAAAAACTAAAGAAGGTCATGTCTGAATTCAGATTCAGATTTCTTTCATCTGACACGCACACACACCCCCAACAGTGCAAACCTGAGCTACACATTTTCTCTTCTACCACAATCTTCGCTTCCTAAAACTCGTCCACAATCTTTGCTTCCTAAAACAGATCTGCGGTCCACAGATTGCCATGCCGGCTCGAGTTATCCGTTAATGGCTAGCAGTGCAATCACTAACATTTATGCCACAGTGCTTAAGTAAGTGGTATCTACTCAGGGAAAAGAACCATTTATCTCTCCTGCCACCCTGTGCAATTCGTTTTGGGTCCCCTCTGATCTCCGACCAACACATTTCAACCGCAGGCCCATTATTGCCAGCGTATTTCTGGCCCCCGCCCACACACCCATCCTCCAATTAAGCCTCGGCGCACCACCGTTCCTGGTGTGCATCATATCTTCTGCAAATGTGCAGCTGGTTGGTGTGTTTCCACTGCCACTGCTGATGTTCTTCCTCCCCCCATTCCCTGCCTCATGTTTAATTTGAAAGGGAATTGATGGGGGGGGGAGTTGCAAATGGGCCGGAGGCAAATGCTGCCATTATTATCGAAGCCTGGCAGAAACAGATAAAGGCAATTTTTTAAAAAAAAATTCCAGATCCTTCTTGTCAATCTTCTCTCTCTCTGTGTCTCTGTCTCAGTTTCTCTGTCTCTCTGTCTCTGTCTCTCTGCCTTTCTGTCTCTATCTCTTTCTCTATCTGTCTCTATCTCTGACTCTTCTCTCTGTCTGTCTGTCTCTCTCTCTGTCTCTCTCTGTGTCTGTCTGTCTGTCTCTGTCTCTCTCTCTCTAGTTCTGTCTCTCTGTGTGTGTCTCAGTCTCTATGTCTTTCTCTCTGCCTCTATCTCTATCTCTGACTCTGTCTCTCTGTTTCTGTCTGTCTCTCTCTGTGTGTCTGTCTCTCTCTGTGTCTCTCTGTGTCTATGTCTCTCTCTGTGTGTCCCTATTTGTGTCCCTGTCTCGCTTTTTGTCTTTCTGTCTCTCTCTGTCTCTCTGTGTGTGTCTCTCTCTGTGTCTCTCTCTGTCTCTCTCTCTATGTATCTGTCCCTGTCTCTCTGTATCGCTCTGTCTCTCTGTATGTGTCTCTATTTGTGTCCCTGTCTTGCTCTTTGTCTTTCTGTCTCTCTCTCTCTGTCTCTGTGTGTGTCTCTCTCTGTGTCTCTCTCTCTCTGTCTCTCTCTCTCTCTCTCTATGTATCTGTCCCTGTCTCTCTGTATCGCTCTGTCTCTGTGTGTGTGTGTGTGTCTGTTTGTCTCTCTGTCTCTGTGTGTCTCTGTCTCTCTGTAGCTGTCTTTCTGTCTGTGTGTGTGTCTCTCTTTCTCTCTCTCTCTGTGTTTCTGTGTGTGTCTCTCTCTGTGTCTCCGTCTGTCCGTCCGTCCATCTGTCCGTCTCTCTCTCTCTCTCTCTCTCTCTCTCTCTCTCTTCCTCCCCCCTCTCATCCTGGTTCTCAATCACAACTCTGCAAAATTCAAAAAAGAAACA